CATATTTTAAGTTCGCAGGACAAAGAAACCCTCAAGACGACAAAGATTCTTGGATTTTATAATTGGCAGCAATTGGTAATTGACATAGATATCAAATTAACGTCTTGTGTTTTTAACATATGTATGTTTTTTCATTAGAACTGACCGTTTCTGAGCTATCCAGCGATCTTTATTGTATAAATAAATAAACAAATTGGTTTTTCATTTCCAATATATTGAAATATTGTTTTCCTTGCAGTATAGGAGAGGTTGCTGTATAGGATAAGATATGCACGTATCACTTATACAAATTTGATTGGTGCACTGGCTAAATTGCCCTCAATACGATCAATTTAATAGTGCATTGTTAAAATTTCAATCAAACAAAGTTCGGTAAACTTTCAAGGGTACACAGGCAGAGAAAGGCTATAATACCGATATATCCTTACAGATTTTAAAAGGAACTGCACACAAGGAATATGATTCATCCAAGTATCCAAAAGCACATAACAATTTTATAGCATTTCTAAGTTATGTAAAGCAAAAGTGTATTTTAATCAGTGCAATGTACTAGAAAACTCGTCCAACACAACTCAATTAGGCGATTAGGTATATGGCAAAGGTTGATTGAATCCAAGAGCTTTACTCTAGTATACATTTTAATATGCTGTCAATTCCTATTTGTTTTTCACTTATCACAAAACTTTTAAGTGGATTGTACTAATCAATTAGGAAAGTGGTTAGGCGTATATAAAAGCCAACACCCAACAGTTAAATAGTCGCCTTTAAAATGTCCTTTGGAAAACACTTCGTTTGCGCTTGCATTTCATATATGCTGGCATTTTGTGGAATCATAGGATTCTACATTAACGCTCACTCGGGAAGATTAATAAAATCGCGTTTCTTGTGCTATTATTGTCGAGTTTATATCGTTCTGGTTTTAGTCGCTACTCCTTATATGATATATATGCTTTGGACGACATTCCCGATGCATCTCACGGAGCATAAGTTTATGACTTTCTTCCTCGTCACTTTTCCTGTTGCCAGAACGGTTGCAATCGGAAGTTGTATTTTCTCTGCACAACGCTGGCAGCACAGGATAATTCGAATGTATGAGAATCTGTGGAAAATGGAGCAGCTGGTAATTGCAAGATTCAACTGCAACACACCATCAGAGATTCCAAGCTTACATCGGCTTTTATGGATCAGATTATCGCTACTAGTGTCTAAATCTATATTTCTTTGGATATGGATGTCTATTAGTGAAAAAGGACTTTTATACAATGTGTGGGGTGCTCTCACAGGAACAATGAGGAATGCATTTTATATGCTACTCTTTTGCCTTATCTGGTACATTTGCTACAACTTCATGAAACTGCAGCTTGCTTTAGATCACGTATTTCGTTATAAAATGCAAAGATCAAAACGTTTGCAGCAAATGCAAAAATTGCATCGGATGTTTTATCAACTCATACGTATGATGAATGAGATCTGCAATATTTTCAAGTATCCGCTGACTTTTCTTATATTGCACCAAATTTATAACAATTTAATACAAGGAGTCTTAACAATTCAGTCACTGTTTGGAAAAAATTATACATATTTGGGAAATTACGGCAGTTTAATGAGGCTAATTATAACCCTTATTGAGGTATCAGAATTCAGTTTGCTCGGCAGTATCGCTGAAAGAGTTGGTAAACTTAATGAAAGTACACTAAACATTTTGCGATACCCTTACCCGAGTGGGGCTCAACTGGAACGAAGTGTGAGTGTAACAGGATGAATAAGTTTTATATTACTCATTTGTACTCTCTTTCAGAATGAATGGTTTGCTCTGCAGCTAAAATTGCAAAAGATGAATCTCCGTGCTGTTGGAGGTCTAATCATTAATCTTCAGTTTGTCTTTGTATTTTTAATTAACATCCTACTTCATATTATATACATGGTACAAAGCGACTACAAAATGTTGCGAATAAAGAAAGTTGTGTGAAACAGAAAACTTATTTGATTGAGTTTGCCACCAAACCAGAGCGTTCTGTGCTCTAATCTGGCCACCCTGTGATTTAGCTGGCTTTGATTCTAGTTAGTTGCCCAAAAGCTTCTGAGTTATTAGGAATAGATTATGTTAATTAGGATTTTTATATTTTCACAGTAAGTCACGAAAATATATTGCTGGTAGCTGTGATAACACTGGAATCAGGGTATAAGGGCTGAATCTAGAACTAAAATGATATCTAAAATATGTATATTGTAGCTGCCGTTGAACGATAGCTTCTCCATTGAAGCCATAAATGTGGCCATGCAGGTAGTACAGAATGACTTTGACGTGACGCAGCTCTGCAAGCGAAAGACACAGCTTGAGGCAACGGCAAAGGTCAAGCAGATTTGGAGGAATATGCCTCCAATGATGACAACATACGTAAACGATTGGAAGTAGGTCTTCGCTCTTAGGTGGGAGTAAAATTATATGCTGCTGTCGATGTTTCTGGCTCGTCTTCGATTCTGAGCTATCCATCGTTCTGTTATAATCATTTATAAGTAAGCAAACACTTGGTGTATAAAAAAATGTTTATTCATTTTTAAAGTGGGAAATATGGTTTTCCTTGGTTGCTGCATAGGATAGGATGTGCTCGCACCAGTTACAAAAATTAGATTGCTGCATTGACTAAATTGCCCCCTATAAGAAAAGCGGATCCGATAAATTAATTGGTGCATTGCTAAAATTGCAATCAAAGCAATGAACTGTCAAGGGTACACAGGCAAACAACAGCAATAATAATGCAATATCTTTACCTATTTTCAAGGGACAAGGTGCGTTCGAATCGCTAGGACCAACTGTATCGAACTGCGTACAACGAATCTATATCATCCAAGAATAAGAATCTAAAAACACGTAAATATTTAATTCAATTTTTTAAGAGGCGCCCAATGGATTAAGAAAAAGTTAAGTAATGTAAAGCAAAGTCTATTTTAATCAGTGCAATGGACTAGAAAAATCGTCCAACACAACTCAATCAGGCGATTAGGTATATGGGGAAGGTGGATTGAATCCAAGAGCTATACTCTGGTGTACATTTTAATATGCTGTCAATTCCTATTTGTTTTTCACTTATCACAAAACTTTTAAGTGGATTGTACTAATCAATTAGGAAAGTGGTTAGGCGTATATAAAAGCAAACACCCAACAGTTAACTAGTCGTCTTTAAAATGTCCTTTGGAAAACACTTCGTTTGCGCTTGCATTTCATATATGCTGGCATTTTCTGGAATCATAGGATTCTACATTGACTGTCGATCGGGAAAATTAATAAAATCGCGTTTCTTGTGCTATTATTGTCGAGTTTATATCGTTCTGGTTTTATTCGCTACTCCATATATGATATGTAGGTTTTGGACGACATTCCCGATGCATCTCACGGAGCATAAGCTTATGACTTTCTTCCTCGTCACTTTTCCTGTTGCCAGAATGGTTGTAATCGGAAGTTGTATTTTCTCTGCACAACGCTGGCAGCACAGGATCATTCGAATGTATGAGAATCTGTGGAAAATGGAGCAGCTGGAAATCCCACACATCTACAGAAACACATCATCAGAGATTCCAAGCTTACGTCGGCTTTTATGGATCACATTATCGCTACTAGTGTCTAAATCTATAATTCTTTGGATATGGGTGTATATGAATGAAAGAGAACTTTTATATAATGCGTGCGTTGTTCTCACTCATATAATGAGGAATGCATTTTATATGCTACTCTTTTGCCTTATCTGGTACATTTGCTACAACTTCATGAAACTGCAGCTTGCTTTAGATCACGTATTTTGTTATAAAATGCAAAGACCAAAACGTTTGCAGCAAATGCAAAAATTGCATCGGATGTTTTATCAACTCATACGTATGATGAATGAGATCTGCAATATTTTCAAGTATCCGCTGACTTTTCTTATATTACACCAAATTTATAACAATTTAATACAAGGAGTCTTAACAATTGAGGCACTGTTTGGAAAAAATAATACATTATTCGGATATTACGCCAGTATAGTGAGCCTAATTATAACTCTTATTGAGGTATCAGAAATCTGTATGCTCGGCAGTATCGCTGAAAGAGTTGGTAAACGTAATGAGAGTACACTAAACATTTTGCGATACCCTTACCCGAGTGGGGCTCAACTGGAACGAAGTGTGAGTGTAACAGGATGAATAGGTTTTATATTACTCATTTGTACTCTCTTTCAGAATGAATGGTTTGCTCTGCAGCTAAAATTGCAAAAGATGAATCTTCGTGCTGTTGGAGGTCTTATCATTAATCTTCAGTTTGTCTTTGTATTTTTAATTAACATCCTACTTCATATTATATACATGGTACAAAGTGACTACAAAATGTTGCGTATAAAGAAAGTTGTGTAAACCAAAACTTATTTGACAGATAATGTTAATCAATTTGTTTTTTGAATTAATCATTTGGAAATGATTACATTTATAAAGAAACTATGTTTAATTAAAGAATTTATAGTTTTTCGTAGACTTTTATAAATTTCACAACTTGAATCAATAATAATATTTTCAGTGAGAATATTTTGAAAATAGATTGCTGGTAACCTTTCTAAAAGATGTGTAAAAAAATGTAATATTAATAACAAAGCAATCATTTACATTCGACAGTTTAAGCAGCTATGTAATAATAGTTTTAATAAACTTGACTCATGCTTACTGAAACAATGGTTATGCAGAGTTTACGTATTTGAACGTATTCCATTTGAATATTCCACTCGAAGAATTTATGATTTTAAACTTAGTTTATTGAAAACTAATTAAAATGTGTACATTTATTTATGTTTGCTTTGCATTTGTACCTAATATACGTGTGTGTATATTACTCTCTTTGATGTAGAAATATAAAAACTATATATATATGCAAATCTAACAATCACATTTGATTTAAATCTAACTTTAAAAGCGAGAAAAACAAAAAAATAAAAACAATTTCCAGTTGATAGACTATATGTAGAAACAACAACAACAACAGCAGCAGCAGCAGCAGCAGCAGCACATTGATTAATTCTATGTGGCATTTTATGCACAATCCCAAAATCGTTTTTCAATGATTTTTTAAATCAAATATTTCACGCAGTAAAGGTTCCACCTGGGATGGGTTTACATTTAAATAGACATTGATGATGAATTTGTTCAGACGCTCCACATCCGAAATCTTTTGTATCAAACGAATAAAGGCGTTCTTGGCCTCACAGCCAGGATAAACGCTCTCCAGATATCTTCGCAGAAGATAATAATAGGAATTCTGTAAGGAAAAAAAAGGGGTTTAAATATTTTGTTAATGCTTCTAGTTAAAAACGATGAGGATGATTTCTAACCTGGTCCAACCGAATGGCATCTTTGTGTATGAGACGCGCTCGGTTCGGTGTAAAAAGCACAATGGCACACATTATGAGTATAATATTCTCATCCATGCGCCATTTCTCATCGAAGGTCGTCACGAACTTCAGATGCTCCTCATAGACATTGCCCTTGGCAAACTTAAGCAGTTCGCTGCGTATGCTGAACATATTCTCTTTGGTATGCGGTACCTGTAATATAAATGTTAATAAATTGATAATTATAGAAATTGAGCTTCAATGAACTCATACATAGAAAATAGATACACCAGTTAGGATAAATGAATATAAAAAGTGTAAGTCGACTAACCTTCCAAGCGGCACGATCTGTGTCATAGATCATTACGGATCGCATTATCATCATTTCGGTGCAGCCACCTTTGAGCAATGCGACCTGATCCTCTTGGCACATGTCACGGAATGCACTAATTTTCTTGGCCATCTTAATTAGACGCTTAATCGCCACCGCCGTCAAATTGATGAGCTGTAAAAGCTGTGGACTTTGCCTCGCATCATCCGGCTGTGCGGGGAGAGAGAGAGGGGCTGTTTTGAAACAACAATAATATGATAACAATAATATGATAATATTAATTTATGACAAATCCAAATCGATTCGTTTCATTTTATCGAGTCGGCAATGATTCAACATAATGCTGAGTGGCAATGATTATCAGAAAGCGCCGCACACCTGCGTACGCTCCACATTTTAACAAAATGTGTATCGGTTTTCCTAATTAACAGCACAAAATGTGCTAATCGAAACGGAACACAATCGACCACAATATTATGGCCATCAATTTGGGGAGGGTGGGTTACTTATGAGCGCCTGCTATGCCAGGTGATAGTAGTGTACTCGCAACGACTGATAAAGATATCAATGGTGTTTTTAACACGGATGCAGCCGTATGTTTGTTGCTCGTCTAGCTTGGCTCGGCAACAGGTGTTGTGTGCCTAAACATTTCCATTGCGACATTTTTATTATCTTGATCAAAATAGCTAAAACTATACAAATTCGATCGACTCCTGCTCACTCATTCATTTTTTTGTTAATTCAATTAAAACTATGTGTCAATTCAGAAAGCGCATTGAAAATTCGTTGTGGCGAAAAATGAGCCGCTCTTTGCTGAAGTTTGTTTACATTGAGGAGGGTGCGCGTGCTGGGCACACAGAAATTGTGAGATGCACTGACTCATGCGCCAGGTGTGAACTGCCAACTGCTAACTGTCTATATCACCTTTTTAACAAAACGAGCAGCGACCGCGATTAGATAAGCACACAAAACATAAGACCCAAAATACAGGTGAGTGTGTGCAATAGGTGTGTGTGTCTTAATTTTGGATTTTCAATCTAATAAGAATATGAATTAATATAATAATAACCTTAATGCGTTCATCGTTCATCATCAATGCACTGAGATCTTCGTCGACGGGATCGTAGAGAGCCTCACTGGCCAGCCGCAATTCGCGCAGCTTCATCTGCTCGGCCTCGTTGAGGTCGCGCTCCATAAATACGCTCGATGGGGCACAAATGGGTTGCTGATGTTGCAGATGCTGCTGCTGCTGTTGCTGCTGCTGTTGTCGGGCTGATGCAGATTTGCAGCCACCGTACTCCGGATTGTTGCCCATATAGGTTGCGGGCATGCCGCTAGCAGCATGATACATTTCATCTTTGATGCGAGTTGGGGGCGTCTGCAAGCTGTTGAATGCCTGATACTCCAAACGGATCACCTCGGAGAGCACAGACTCTATGGAATTGATGCTCAGGCTGCCATCCATACTGAGCTCATCTGCATCGGCATAGCTATGCATAAAATCCTTTAATAAAAACTCTGGAGCATTGGGTAGATACTTGGGCAAGCTGTGACTGCCCGATGTGGTGGGCAGCTCGTTTTCTGTTCGCGGCGACTGATAATGCAAATCGATTGGAACACTGTTTGCAGGACTCGCAATACTGCTGGGCGGCGAGGTCAACGCTGTCTCTCCCGTGCTAATGCTGCTACCCGTTGGACTGCCATGCAACATTGTTTGTATGACGGTGTCCACGCGTATATTTTGCGTCTCTCGCTTCTCGCACTGATTTCCGATTGGAGACTCCTCTTCGGAAGACTCGTTCGGTCGATTGGTACCATTGAAGATGCGATTTAGCATTTTGAGTGCCTCGGCAGGTGTGTTCATAAATTTGTTCATTATATCGATCGCATTCTCTGGAGATCTCATCAGATTCTGCATAAACTCGACCACATCCTTAGGCGAATCAACAATCTTTGAGATGATCTCCAGGCCATCCGTTGGCGAGCTCATAAATTTGGTAAATACTGTTAAAGCGTTAAATGGCGAGTTCATAATCTTGCTGATGATCTTGAGAGCGTCACCTGTACGAAATTATTAAATATTATTAAGCGTTGTTTTTTAATGAAATATTGTATAAGATATTCACCTGGATAGTCAATCAGATGTGACACTAGCTTTAGGGCATCCTTTTGTGAACTAATTACCTTCTCCATCACCGAAATGGACTCCTTCTGAGTGCGCATCAGCCGATTGATGGCCTGACAAGCGCGATCCGGATCCGCAACGATCTCATCAACAATCTTATCCGCAGTCATCAGTAGCGGATTCATTTCAGCCAAACGATTCGTCGTTGAAGGTCGATTTGTGGTTGTTGAACTCGTTGCTCCGATTGCAATTCCACCGATATTTGCCCCACTGTCCGGTGAGCCGCAGCTGTGTGAATCCTGTGAGCCGTTATATGTGTCCAGATTACAGCTGCTATCGGCGACAGCACCCGCTACCTTACTATCATCCCCATCCGCATCCCCATCCGGATCGGCATCGTCGCCGCCATGCTCCATCATTCGTCGCTTGGCACGATTATTTTCGATTTTGCGACGTTTGATCATTTTATCCTCCTCGGACATGATGTTCTCGCTCTTCATGCCAATGTCGAGGCATTTTTTCAGGCGGCACTTCTGGCAGAAACGGCGGGTCACCACGGTAATCTCACAGTTTTGATTGAAGGGGCAGGTGAACTGCTTTTTGGCCAGTGCATTGCGACGAAAGAATGCCTTGCAGCTCTCGCAAGTAACGGCATTGAAATTGTAGCCTAACGCCTTGTCACCGCACACGGCACAGTTCTTTGGGGGTGACATATTGTGCAGCCCTGCCTCTGCCACTGTCAGTGTCGCCCCAGCTTTCAATTAGAATGGTGATTGATTTTTTAATTGCTCTCCACTCTTGTTGTGGACGATTGACCCGCTATTTTGCAGTTTTTTTTTGTTTTGTTTTTTTTTTTGTTGTTTTGTTTTGGTTTAGTTATAAGACTTAAAGGCCTCCAACATTTTCTGCTTTGTACGACGTCCTGTTGAATTGCACCTTCTAACTTCCAACACGTATAAGTCATCAAGTTTCGTTATCACCACACATATTTTAATTAATGGGGCCCCTCTTCTGAATTCTGCGAGCACCGTGTTTTTTGTGCAAGAGCTAGTCACATATTACGTTCACACAAAACTATCGATAGTTGAACAGCTGTGCATATGAATCAACTAACATTAGACTACATATTGCTTGGCTCAGCGATGTTTGTGACGTCAACGTGGAAAATTATAAGATTGTTACACTACACGATTATAACAACATTGAATTTTTGTATAATATATATAGGAGTCGAATAGGCAGACTGTGAAAACGATATTGCTCAATGAATGTGCAGACTGATCTCCTTTGTATTATAAATTACATGCGTTTTTATCCAATCTTTTTAACGTAAGCCACACAATTTGCTTGGTGTGACGTCGAGTGTTATGTTTACCCAAAATCTAAGTTATCTTTTGCTTACATTATTGAATGGAGCATGAATTATCGAAATGTGATTGTCGAAATCTGCTTTCACGTGTGACTGTCAGAAGTATCAGCAGCAGCAAGTTAATTGTAAATTTTGTGTGCTGGAAAAAAATAAATTAACTAAAGATGAACAAAGTAAAAACACGACTGTCAAAAACTGGCGATATTGTCGCATACAGCGAAGGCGCCATACGCAACAACATTTCGGCTGTCGAATATTGTCGCACCTCAATGGCTGCCATCTCAGGCTGTGCTGCTGGTAAATTATGAATCAATTAAAATCAAGTTGAATATTTACCGTCGCATTATTTATCATCGCCAGGCATCTTGGGATTAAGTGCCACACTTGGCTTCTTGTTCTACTTTATATCGGTATTTGTGCTCTGGATAATGGTGCTGATGAAGTCAGGCACACAGTGGCGCAAGTATTTCATTAATCGTAAAAATCTACTGACGAACCAATTCCTTGGCGGCCTTTGCACCTACGTGCTATTCTGGACGTTCTTGTATGGCATGGTGCACGTCTATTAGAAACCTCCCAACATCAACTAGACAAATAAACATAGCTTAAGTTTGTGGCAAAAAGGAGCAAATTCGTGTTTTCTTCTTCTTTTTCTATTATTATTTAGACTAGGTCTAGGTTTGTACAACGGAAGCAGCTGCTGCAGTTCCGGAACAATCGCACCACGGCGTCTTATTTACATCACAATCGAGCAATATGTTCAACACTGTCACATTGATGCCATCAATAGCCAGCTTGTGTACTTTTAGTATTTTATAGCTAACATTATTAAGGCCGGTATTGTGATCCCTTTTCCGTGTCATCTCCTTCTGAGTGAAGCATTTTTGCGTATCCCGTTTGCGATGATGGCGATTGTGTATATGACTAAAATGGAGCAGATGTCAGAATTAAAGTGATTGATTTGGAAAGTATTCATACCTAAAAGTGTTGTTGATGCCAGTCTTAATATTTTGGTGACGTGTAACTTGCAGTCCCGCATCCCGGATGCGCACAAAGAACTCATCATCCTCCAATCCCCAGCCCCAGTATTGATTCGACATGCCGTTCATTTGCTTGAAGTGCTCGCGACGCACCAGTAAAATCCCACCGACGAAATTATCATAGTGGTATTTGGGATGGAGCTTGGGGCCGGCAATGTGCAGCGGTCCCAATTCGCTGGGATACTCATACAAGAGATCCTTATTCAGTGGTAACAGATCCACATCGTGCATGGCAATATAATCGTAGACTTCGCTGGTGAAATGGAAACCCACATTAATTAGCGAGGCGCGATTAAATCGATATCTGTCCACCTGATTGAGCACAAAGATATGATGCTCAATTCTTTGGTCACGTAGGAAGTTCGTTAGATGTGGTACAAATTGTAGAAGCTCCTCGAATCTGTCCCGAAACGGCACCAAAACTGCCATCTTATGCAGAGCTGGTGGCGCACTATGAGATTTAATATTCGCCAACTCTTCGCTGCTCATTCGACTCAGTGGGCTCTTCAGCGGGCAGATGCAATCTAGAAGTACAGTTATTTATAGATTTTGAAATGTGCTCAACATTAATTTATTTGATATGTTTTCATTTCCATTTCCCACCTGAGCTAAGCGGCATAAAACTGAGCACTGCGATGCCACCTATGCAAAATGCTAAGCCACAGACGAATAGCCAGTTTATTGTTGATATGTTAGCCATTTTCATTGATGTTTCACTAATACTAAATTATTTACTTATTCTGTTCTAACTAAGTTACGCCATATAAAAAGTAAAATATTATTGCCTTTCTTGTTGCTTCGTATCTCACTAACAGCTGTGGGCACCCACAAAAAACTTTAACATTGGCCGTTGCTGTTATTAACAGCGCACGCTCAGTTGTTCCCGGCAAAATTGCGGTGCGGTTTAAAGTTTTGCAAAAAGTTGAAGAACACATTTTGCTTAATGTACATGAACTACAAATTAACAATTTATGGCTTAATAGAGCGATTAGTTTAAAAATAAAAATTCAAACGGAAAAATAACGCAACAGCTTCAGTTTTTCGCGGTTTGTTTTTTGAGCAGTGTTTTCAGATCGAAAAAAATGTCGTTCATGGAATTGCAATAGGTCTGCTGAGAGCCAAAGAATTAACTAAAACCTAAAATATACCAAAAGGTTGCAGTTAATGTTTTTAAATTAAGAAAACACTCGCACTACCTTGTTTGTCTACAAAATATTTGGCAGGCTTTCATTTGCTTACAAAATAATTGGCGGGATTACATCTGTGTATGCATTTCGATCAATTATCGAGAAAAATATCGATAATAAAAATAGTGCACATAGTGCACAATCCGATTTTTAACATCTTCCAACACTTTTGGCAGTACAACACGTGAACTTGATCCGAGTTAATATTTTGAAATAGAAAAATCAAAATGAAGACGCCGAAAAATAAATCAAAGAAGAGCAATGCTGACATAAAGCAACAAGATAAAGCAGTGGACGTGTCAGAGGAAAGTAAAACAGTCAAAAAGAAGCCAAAAGTAAAGAAAACAAAAGCCACAACCGATACAATAAAGAAGGCGGCTGTGGCGGAAGCGAAAACGAGCCCAAAGAATTTAACAGCCGCTGATTTAGCAAAGATCAAGAAGAAGAAGGCCAAGAAGCAGGCACAAAAACTCAAAAAAAAGGAAAACAAATTGGCAAGCAAAACAACAGCAACAGTGGAAATTGAGAGTGAAAAGGTTAAGTCGGAGCCCAAAGCAGTGGTAACATCAAATAAAGAGCAGAAGACTCCTGCCAAGGAAAAAAAGCCCTCCAAAACGAATCCCAAAAAGGAAAAGAAGCTCAAGGCGAAGGCAAACAGGAAAACGAATGACAAAGATGAAGGTTTGTATTAATATTATTATGACCACGTCCAACTGCAATCACTCAATAAACTAACCTATATTTGGAATAGATGAAGTGAAGCGGGAGCGGGATCCAGCTGCAGAAGCAGCGACCATATTTATTGGAAATCTTCCCATAAATACGAAACGTGTGCAATTGGTGCGTCTGCTGCAGCCCTTCGGCACCGTGAACTCCATCCGCCTGCGCACGGCTGGTGGCAAGCATCTGTTCAAGCACAAGCAGCGCAAAGAGGCCGGCTCCTTAAATGCCTACGTGGTGCTCAACAGTGCGCAGGTGGCGGAGAAGGCACTTGCTTTAAATGGCACCGAATTCAAAGAGAATCATTTACGTGTGACGCCGGCTGCAAAAGCCGGAACAACTGCAGGCAATGATCTATCATCAGCATCGTCAGCACCCAGCGATGCGGATAACAAGCGCACCATATTCGTTGGCAATCTGAAATACTGTGCGTAATCTTTAATCAAATCACAATGTAAAACTTGTATTTTCATAAACAAAACTCTCATTGCAGCTGCGAATGAGGAAAAGCTGCGTGAGATCTTCTCCAGCTGTGGCGAAATCGACTATATACGTTGTCTCCATGATGGCGAGCGGGGTTGTAAGGGTGTCGCCTATGTCTGCTTCCAGCAGCCGGATGCAGTCGGTCTGGCACTGGAGCTAAACGAGACGATGCTGGACGAGAGACCAATCCATGTGGAACGCTATGCAGTTAAGAAACTGGGTGCAAAGCAGGCACGCGATTCAGCTGCGGCTGCAGCCGCCAAAGCAACTCCCCAAAAATCAAAGAAAATGCTAAATTCGAAAGGTGCCCAGAAGCGCATCGACAAGAGACAAAATAAAGCCAATGGAAAACCAGCTCAAGCCGCAAACAAAAAGAAGTCCGATTACAGAGGCGTCAAAATGGATGCCATCAAAAAGGACAAGAAACCCAAAAAGAAATCCAACAATCAAATGAACGCATTGGCCAAGAAAATAGCGCCAAAGCCCAGCAAATGACTTGATTAAATTTATGTTTTTAGGCATTAATGTAAATAATTTACAAGCACCAGAAAGCAACTACTGTTTTTTTTTAATGTCTTAGATTTTACTTAAATTCAAATATAAAATTATTAAAAAGGAGGCCGTTAAAAATGTACTTACCAGTGTTACGTACTTTGCTATTTCAGAAAAAGGTTTGGCAACACTTAACTTTTTTCAAAAATTAATTTCAAAAAGATGATTCTTTTTTGTACATTGTTTGAATATTATTTTTAAAAATATATGCACAACTTTTGTCAAATATTTCTTAAATAAAATCAAAAGTATAAACTTCGGTACATTTCTACCTAATTGAACAAGCAACGTGCCTGCATTCAGCGTCAGTTGCTGTGTAATTTTCACTGCATCTAGTCGCCGTAGCAGTCAGCTTCTCACTGTCAGTCTTGATTTACCGAGCTCAGTCAGCTGTTTTAGTTGTTATCGCAACACACACAAATTTCAAGTCAGTTTTGTGATTTAATAATATTGGTGTTTATATTATTAAAGAAAATCAAAGATAAATTTGGGTAAGCACAAGAATGCATTTGGTTATTATTAGCCAGCTAGTTAGCGCACACATCTATCTATCGAACTATTTACCCGCAGGATGAATAATCTGTGTAAAAATTTAAAGTTTCCACGCTTTGCCCGAAACTCAATTCGGAACATTGTCGGCCTAAATAATAATAATAATAATAATAATAATAATACATCCACTTTGGAACCATTGCCTCAACGCGAACTGATACGCGTCCATGGTGCTGAGGTGACACCATTCCTCCAGGGCCTCGTCACCCAGGACGTGTCCCGCCTGCAAGAGCCCAGTGGGCCAGCCTCAATTTATTCTCTATTCCTGAATCGTGCTGGTCGTTTAATGTTCGACACCATCATCTATCGGACCAATGATAAGGATACATATCTGGTGGAATGTGATCGTGATGCATCCTCCGATTTTCGTCGTCATCTGCGCACATATCGTGTGCGTAAACACATCGATATCGACACAGTCGATGATGAATATGTGCCCTGGGTGCTCTTCAACGACGGCCAACAGAAGGACACCGAGGCAAGGATGGCCAGTAGCAAACAAAAGGCTAAGGATTTGTTTATCGCATCGGATCCGCGCATCGGAAGCCTAGGCATACGCATTCTGGCGCCATCGGATATGAGTGATGCACAGCTGGCGACAACTTTGTGGCGCAATCACGAAGTGATCGCCGTCAATCCCGACATCGAGAAGAACTACAAGCTGTTGCGCTACAAGCAGGGCATTGGCGAGGGCATCGAGGAGCTGCCGCCTGGCAAATGCTTTCCCCTGGAGGCCAACGCAGATTACCTCAACGGCGTCAGTTTCAACAAGGGCTGCTATGTTGGCCAGGAGCTAACCGCTCGCGTTCACCATTCTGGCGTCATCCGTAAACGTTATATGCCCATCCGATTTACGGCACCGATCCGCTCCGACATGACAGTGAAATCTGTGTCGGGCGCCAGTCTTGGACGTGTCCTCGGACATGCCCAAAATCATGGCGTGGCCCTGTTACGCATCGAACCGGTGCTGAACAGTGCCCAGCAGCTGGTACTGGACGGTGATCGCTGCTTTGCCGAGCGTCCCCATTGGTGGCCCCAGCAGGCGACCACCAAGCGAGGCATGGCTGCTGTCAACATCGAATGAGAGCAAAGAGATTGAATTTTGTTATTTGTGTGATTAGAAGTAATCTGTTGTATTTGTTGTTGTAATCAAATTAGTTTGCTATGCGTATATATACTAAAGTCCATTTTGCGGTGACTGTCGAGACAGAGAGAGATCTTCCACTTAGTCTTATTGTTGCAGGCACGCTTCGCCATGTCTCAGGATCAGATCTTTAACGATGATGATGCAGAATCCGACTTGCGTCTGCTTGATGATGATGGCGCTGATATACAACGATTAAAGCTGCCGGCGCCGACGGAGAAACCTGAGGACGATGTGGACGAGCGGATTGCGCGGATTGAGTTTCATTGCAGCGTTTGCAACATGCACGAACTTGTCCATTATTATGGCAAGGAGCCCCCATTTGGCTTGGGCATACGATTTCGTGAGGATAGCTTTGTGATGCGTGATCCGTTTCAGGCGCCACCGCCACGCTGGCAATCGAAAGCTGAGTACTATGTGGCATTGGGCGTCAAGTGTGCGACTTGTGGCAAGCCTGTTTGCAAGGATGCAGCCTGCAGTTTCTATTATACACAAACCTATTGCCTGCCCTGCGGCAGTGTCCAACTTAAATCCTGGCCAGTCGAGGCTCAGAGCAAATTGCGCAAACAACTGGCGGCCAGCAAGCAAAAAGAACAGTCCAATTAACATTAATAAATACATTTTTCACTTTATTCCATACACAAATAGGTATTTTTTAATGGTTGTTTTCAATATAAATCTGTTATTCAATCTGTTATCGCAATGTTAGATTTATGTTAAGCAACTTTTAACGCAGTGTTAGATTTTGGATTTTATTTATTTGTGCAGGTTCATTTATGTATATCTTTGGAATGTGTTAATAATATAGTTAAAGCACATTGTTGGTTTGGATTCGTCGTTGGTAATATATGCAATAATGCATATATATTACCATAATGCATAAAAATGCTGTAATATATGTATATAATATCTATATCCTGAGATTATCAAACTCTTTCCACGGGAATTGAGTATGTCAAGTTTAAATAGTAATATTTCATATTAATTTCTCAAACATGGCATCAATGAGAATTGAGATGGTTGACTCTGTTTAGAGATTTGGATTTATCGTTGGTAATATGCAATGAATCATTAAGATTGCATTCGTCTCGTAAATTAAAAAATAATAATATAAATACCTGAGATTAACAAACTCCTTGCATAGAGGAGTTTAGTATACCAAATTTAAGTAAATTAATATTTAATATTTCTCAAACGACATGGAATCAATGAGAATTGTGACGCCAATGAGCACAGCTTTCATGCGCACATCCAAATCCATTGGAAAGGTGAGGCAAAAGAAATCGGCTTTCGTGAACATTTCGGTAATTGCCAGTCCTGGCCTCCTCTTGTAGATCTTGCCTACCTTCTGCCCGTTAAGTGCGTGAATCACATTGAACTCCACATCGCCGCATTTGAAGACGCTACGATAGTTGCACTCAACGCGCAGGATCGTATCGCCAATGTAATTCTGTATGAGAAACGATGGCGAACAAATGAACCAATCATGCGCAATGGAGCCAATCACATTGCCTGGCGGCGCCGACACCTCCATCGCCTGCACCGGACGGCAGGGGATACAAGGCGCCAGCAAGCAGCCCGATGGACGATTTAAATTAATGAGCTCTTGCTCGAAATTGTCACAGATTTTCATATCAAAATAACGTGCCAATTGCAATTGTACCAGGCGCGATTGCAGCAATCCGGCTGCTCCATTGCAGTATAGACCGGCTGGCCAAGTGAGTTATCGATGTAGAAGGCATTGGTGAAATTGGTTAAATTAAAGGCACACAGGTTAATTTTATTTTGCTTCACCAGAAGCTGATCGATGTGCGTCAGGTATTCCAATCCGCGCGGACAGTCCGGCACACTTGCGGGCAATTTGCTCCACCTGGTCCTGCTCCTGTTTCTGGTCCTGCATATTCAATTGGTTGCGCTGCATTATCAGCTGACTCTGCATCTTTGAATGGTGCTGGTGGTTGTGCATCCGGTTGATGATAGCAATCAGTTATCTCATGTCCAACTTTGTTAGTGTTGTTCATGCTGCTTATATTATTTGGCTGTTGTTCTTCTTGTTTTTGTTGTACGCTACAAGTTTCATGTTTGTTAGATATAATATTATGAATAATATTAATAATATGAATAATAGAACTTTAACAACTTGAAAACAATACTATTCACTGAACAATCTTTTCCATCTGCTGTCGTTTAACTGCTATCGCTAAAGCTACAAATATCGATATATCGATAACTTGTTGGATATATGAGCAACGATAGCTTCATTCGTTCATTTAGTCAATTCGGAAGCGAGCGTCAAGCAAGTAGGACGACGCTCAGTTGTCTCTCGCGTGTCTATCTTGTGTGTTGTGTGTCATTTGTTGTCGCCCGCGCTTCTTGTTTATTCTTACATTTTAGTAAGACTTCAATAAAGTGTAATGTGTAATTGAACGTGTGTTTTGTTATTCAATTGATTAATACGCCAAGCGGTCTATCAAAAAAATAAACGCCGCTGCAAACAGTTCATGAGAATTTGGCATTTAAATCGAGTTGTTCCTGGTGCTGCCGCTGTTGTTGTTGTTGTACTTGGCGTTGCCGCTGCTGCAGCTACTTAGAAATAATAAACAACAACAGAAACTGTAGCATGGCAGCGGCGTTTTAAGTGTTGGCGTTGGCGTTATATATGTTTTTTTCTTTATGCTAAAATTGCGGACGCACCCACCCAACCACAAACCCAACAACAACAATAAAAACAAAACAAAATTTAAAAAAAAAGTCCCAATTTGCTGTGTAACTGTGCTTATAACCCTGTATGTGTGTGTGTGCATGGGTGTGCGAGCAAGGCAGGGACAGGAGCATGGGCTGCCCAGCCGGTTTCGCAGCGCTAGTTAATTGACAACAACAACATAAAATAAAAGTTACCAAAACGAAATAAATCGAAGAAATAAAAACAGCATGCAACAAGCAACGAGTTAAACAAATGTTTAAATGTTTCTAAACATATTTCAATATACACATCAATGTTTCCCATGCATGTTTCAAGTGAACAGCACCAGCAACAACAGCCACATTTGGAACAACAGCAACATTAGCAACAACAGCAAAATTAGCAACAACAGCAACCGCAACAACAGTCCCCAAACGATCCCCCAACATGCACTCACCGGGCATTGAGTAGTTTCTATAATTAGCCAAAAAGCACCAAAGGTGGTCTGCTCAGCTAATCATTGTATTTAATTCGCCCCACCCCTGCATCCACAATCCCCCCCTGCGGAATAACAACACACACCACCTACGGCTCTGAGCAGCCCACACACACACACAACAAGCAAACAACGCCACCCACTTTCATCAACTTGAACATCATGCGACGGGCGGAGCTGCTCCAACTGACCATTCTTGTCTACGCTTGTTGCTGGCTCCTGGTTGATGCCCACAATTGCCAGCATCAGCATCCCAAGGCGCACGAGGTGAGTACACTGTGCAAAACTGAGATGTGAATAGGCTAAATATATTTTTGTTGCTAGTTATTTTAATTAGTTTTGGTGGAAGAATTTTTTTAGCTCGAGTATAACGTTGTATAGCTTAGTAAATATGAAAATGTATTTTAATCAAGTATGAATAACACAATACAACAACAAGTGGGTGGGTGGCTAACGGAGAAAAACGGTTTTTATATTTGAATTAATCATTTTAAACATTCAAACATCTAAAACATCCTTGTTAAGTTTCTATACTATAAAAAATAAATGGCTCACGAGTTTTTCAAATGTCAAACATTTTAGACAATCAAACACAAAAAAAAATCGTATTCTGTGCAGTGAAAAAAGAAAAAGAAAATATAAAACTCGTTTTAAAAATGTCAAAAAAATTGCCGGCAAACGTTTTCAATTTTCTTCTGATATATTGGCTCAGCAATAAAGTACTAAATGGACTAAATGAAATTTTAATAACAACAAATTGTTTTTTGAAGCAGAAAAAATTTGAAGTTTTAAATAATTCAAGACACAATTTAGAATACAGGTTCAGGAAAAAAACTTACTTGAATCACTTTTGACTTGAACATTGCACATTTTGGTAATTTGCTGATTGTGTTTTCCACCCACTCAATTGAACTGATTATCCACCCACTTAGCTCGACTGGGCCGTGTCCTTTACAAACCCCCCAAGCACAACTCAAAGCTCTCAATTTCCACTTTAAATTCGAATTTAGAATTTCGTGTCTGACACTTGTCCTTTTGTGTGCGGCAACTGCGATTACGTGAAAATGTATAATTGCTTCCAATTAGGGCAAACGCAGCTTAGTTAGTGCGTCGAAGTTTTCACATTATACACACAAATGCAACAACTACATCATCAATAATTGAATTTCATAAGTGTGCAATTGAGAGCGTTGTGGGTGATAAATAAGCTCAAAAGGGAGAATTAAATTGTGGATTATTCATTACGTTTAATACTCATGGTATTTATAGACAAAATTCAAAGTTTATGTAATTTCAGCTGACAGAAATTCGAATTGATTGAATATAAGATGCCAATGCCAATGCCAATTACACTTATATATACTTTTGATTGTTTTTATAAATTTTGAGTTTTGGCAAACAATTTTCTTAATTCTGTTGGGTAATCCTTTTTGAAAATGGAATTTGTGCTAATCACTTTTAGATATGCACTATTATTATGATTTACATCGAGTACTTGTCTGACTTACAGGAAATATTACATGCCAATTCCCAATAATTTTATAGATACTTGTGAATAAATGCAACAGATTTAATTTATTTTACGTTAAGAAACTGTGTGCGATTTTTCTATTAATGTGCGTCTCTTGGTTTTTGTTTTTGTGTTTGTGTTTTGCAATTGTTATTTTTGAGTTGAGTTAATTGTAATTCTGGCTGGTGGAATATGGAGTCAAGTTCTCATGATGTTGGCTGCCACTGTTATTATTGGCTAATTCCATTTGCTAATCATATACATATATATGCACATTAAGATTCAGTGTAACGGTATTTGGGTGCAAGTTGTCTGTTGGCACCATCGGGCGTGGGGCAAAAAACCGGCTCTTGTCGACCGGCGACTATGTTGCCCCGATTTAAATGTCTGCTACTTGTTCCCCACTTGTCGGCCACCTGTTGCCGCAACTGTGGCTGCTGCCGTTGATGGCCAAGTGCAGAAGTAGTTAAGTCTTTCTAACTGAGATCAACATCAATTTAATTGTCGGCTCACTTCGTCATAAAAAGGTCAAATGCAGCCGCGCAAAAAAGTAAAAACGGAAAATGACTGCGATTTGTTGATTGGACTCGGATTATTGTGTTTAGCCGAGTCCCGAAGTAATAAATGGCTTTCCATCGCATTCAAATAAAAAACCAGTTAAACGTAATTAAAATCACAAACATTACTGAGAGTGGCCCTTAGGAAAATCAACAGAGAGAGAATGGAAATGTTTACTATGTCCATAAAATTAACAACAAAAAGGAAGCAAATCTTGACCGAATATATACCATATATATATATAAACACTACTATACTCTGCTCGATTATTATAAGTTGAAAATTTCTAATCTTTAAATGATTAGCGTATTTTAATCACTTCTGAATAGATTGCATTTATAAATTAAATAGCTAGAAATATGAGACATGTTAATCAAGATTTAGTGAACTTACAATATGTATTATTTATTGAGCAAGTAACAAATTTTGCATATGTGGCTGAGCAGAAGTTTCAGATTATAAATGCAGGGTATCTGCTAGGCGACCAATATATATTAATTTTCTCTTGTGAATAACTTGAAGTTAATTCGCGTGCAATTATTTTAATTATTTGTAACTTGAACTGAACTTTTCAAAATGCAATCATTCCGGCGATAGCCCCAGCAATGTTTCCGCTGCCCGCACAAATCCCGCCCGGATCGGAACTTTGCCGGAGATTGCTCGGATTTGAACGAGTATGTAAATTGTAAATTGTGGAAAATGAACGCGAGGGCAATCGAGAAATGAGTCTGTGACGAAGCTGATGTATATATTATATACATATATATGTTCTATATGTACTTATATAGGTATGTAGTGAGTGGCACAAGTTCCTCAATCCCACAGTCCAGTCCAGTCCCCTCCAGCGGTGAACGCTGCTCAGTTTAATTAGACTTAAATAAAATGAAACTGAGAACTCGGCAAATTAAGACATTTGTCACTGTCTCTCAAAACAAAAGTCAGAATCTTAAGACGATAAGGATTACCACGATGACGATTATGATGTTGATGACGATGAACAAATGGATACCTTGAATATTAAGTGCGTTTAAGTCCCAGCTTTAACCCTAAAGTGATTATTGCTTCCAATTTAAACAAGCCACAAAATGACTAATTAATCCATTATTAATTAGTCACTTTGTGGCTTTGTTTAAGTTCAAAATCATTAAGAAAACATAAAATTACAAATTTAAAAACTATTATCATATATCAAATAGCAAGTTGTGTAATTAAAAGCGTGCTTCATGACCTCAATGCAATATTGTGTAAGTTTTGCAAAGGTTGCGCGAGAAATGTAATATATTTGAAATACACGCATCGTTTCTGTTGCAATATATATTGACATATTTAGAGATTTGAGAGCTTACAAATATTTCCTTATCGGAACTATATACATTTATATATGGTACAGTGGTATCTACTAAATTTAAATTTCTTTTTGATTGTTAAATTATTGTTTGTTTTGTTTTTAAGTTTTACAATATTAAGGAATGTGGATAAATTGCACATGGATCTTTGCACATTTTATATCTAAAATTAAAAGTTTAGAAGAAACTGAATTTAAATTAAATGAAAAAATATATGCATTTTAGATGATAGGCATTGAAAGTGATGACATTATTTTCTACATATTTGTACACAGAAACTACAAACTGGAAACTGGTTTCTTATCAAGGCAAAAAACAAACAGAGACAATTAAGCACAGACATATTTATTTGATGTATGTATACATAAGTATATAACTTATACTAATTGTGCGCTTAGACTTTAGTGAATGGAAATGAAACTAGAGAAAACCAATTAAATAGGCATAACTAGGCTAATTAGGTTAAATTTATCGGCATTCAATTTAAACTTTTTTTTTTTTAATCAATATTCGGAGACGATTATTTGCATCTACTGTCCCAATATATGCGACAACGTCATCAGCAATCGAACCCCCGAATTTGTCACTCTAGCTTCAAAAATGGCGAGAGTTTTATACTCATCGATTTGCACTTATAAATTTTATCGATTTTCCAGCCCTAAAGTGGGTAACGCATTTATAATTACAGTTTCTAGATGCCACGGTGTCGACAGACGGACGGATAGGCAGGCATGGATGAGATGGCACACAACCACTATTCTACTTCTGTGAAAATTGAGTACAATTAGCTTCCAGTTGCTGCATATAAACCTGAATATATATATTTATACAAATATATAATGGTTGTTAAGCTTCTTTAAAATTCGGGTGCATTCAACTTAAAGCCGTTGAAGAGGTCTGTCAAGACAGCCTTAGTTCAATTCTAATTTTCATAGGTGTTCACATACATATTCTAAATGTGTATGTATGTGAATATATATGTGTGATTGTATGCATGTTGTGCTTATTCAAGTCTCAAATGCATAACTTGCTTTATGTGACGACTAGAAAGTGAGAGAGAGAAAGACATTTGCAATTGTGAATGTAACTGTAGTTGAATTATAAATTGAGATGGATGTATGTGTGTGGATTTGTGTATATGTGTGCATACACACACACACACATACATATAAATGTATTCATTCATTCGCAGTAGTAGGCAAGACAAATAAACAAGTGCAAAAGATAAAAAAAAAACTGTTTGACTTATCTCCAGCTGATGCTGCTGCGTGTGCCTCCGAAACAAGTTTGCAAGTTGATTATTATGCTACATGGCTCGAGGCTAATTTGGAAACACACACACACACAGTACAAAATATTATGAATTGGCGTTTTATTTATGCATGTATTTCTTACAACGCAACAAGTTGCTAAATTGACAATTGGCACACGATGAATGATGCACAGCGAGTGGGTTGGCCCAGTCCGCGACAAGTTTTGTTTCTTGTCTAATGGCCTTGAGCAAAGTTCGTCGTTTCTTTTGTGTTTTCCCCCGCCCGCGTTTATTATTATGAAAGGGCCTGCCAACTCTCTACCCCCGCCCCACAAAATATCAATTCCAGTTTGCAAATTAATTTTTGCTCATTTTCAGTGAGCATAAAATTGAATTTTCAATTTTCATTTTGTTCTCAATTACAGTCAGTGTCAGTCAATGATGCAAGGTAACGTGCCGTTGTGAGAATCTGACGCCTTGTAAGTATTATGTACATACACACACACACACATATATATATATATATATATATATATATATATATACTGTATATGTATGTATACGGGCCTGGTTCAATAATCCAATGCTGTTGTCCGATTTCGTCCAATTTACATCAGTTAGCGACACAAATTGTAAAGATTGCCCCATAGTATGAATAATGTATATAGAATGTGTCGCATGTGTTGTGACTCTGCTTGCTATTTGTGCTTATTAATGTGGCTTTGTGTGTGTGTGTCCAAGTTTTTAATGAAGTAACATGTCCGTTGCGGTCACACTGGTGAGGTAACAAATAAATTGAGCGCGAGAGAAGCAAATAAACCGTAAAGTAATAAACACCGCATGCAAAGTGGCTACTACTCAATAATGCATTGCACGCCTACAAACATAAAAACATATAGAAATGGAAACAACAAGAGAGAGTCTCTCGGAAGAGAGCGAAAGTGAAAGCACTCTCAGCAGCGAATTCACTCAAGCTTGAAAACTTCGATTGATCTGACCGGCGAACGGCAGGTGACAAGAAAACTGCGGAAGAGCGTAATAAAAGAAATGGAGAAAGAGGGAATAGGAGTGGGTGACGCCGAAATGTTATGCTTGACTTGTGTGAACGATTGACAGATTGAATGCGCGCAGTAAATAATCATTACTCAACACATAACGGCAGCTGACGCCCGCCGCCTGCTGATCGATGGATCAACTTGCTCAAATTAGCATGCGCAACAACAGCAACTGTTATTGGGTGTCCGTCCATCATCAGTCCATGCGAAGCATGCGTGCGTGCGCCAAATTCATGTTTGCCATTTGTGGGTTTTTTGTTTTTTTTTTTTTTCGTATTTGTTAAGACGGGAGTTAAGCGTGTAAAAGTGTAACCAGACTTGCAAACATAGGAGGCAACCAAGTGCATCAAACGGCACATTTCTCTTTTAAACGTGAGTCGCCTCTCAACACTGGACACGCTCGAATGTGGCACACCACACCGCAAACAGCGAAAATTTGTTAGATAGCCAGTCCAATTAATGTGTATGTGTATGTGTGTGTGTGCGTGTGAGTTAGTATGCAAGCTGACTGCTTGAGCATTACGTCTTATCGGAGATTGAATAAGCATCATTTTCTCTGCTTAGAAAGTGTGGCGCCATCTATTGCGCCAATTCCATAAAGCTTTAACAAAGATCGCTTCCAATCTTTCTTTACTTTTATCTAATTTACATTTAATTCATCTTAATTTTGCCATTTCTTTGCATTTGTAAAAACGAGTAAGTTCAGAAAGTTTAAATCTTTTTGTAATTAGGTCGACTACGTTAGATAAGGTTATGGTGGTTCTTAGCTAGGGAGGAGAAAAGTTCCGATATATCCAGTAAGGAAGGGTCGATGAGCTCTACCCTAAATGCTGGACAGATTCCGCCTCTTTTTCATCAAGTCAGCAACAGTCGACTACTGTTGTCAACTGAAACTCAAATCGATTTTTACTCTCATCATAAACAGCATCAGAAAAAAAGAAGGATAAATAAATAATATAACAAATATAATGTCCATAATTGAATCATATCCACGCATGAATAAATAATATTTATTTGGTTAGCTATAAATAACTACAAATGTGTACAGGCGTATGTAAAAATATATGTACGCATTTTTCCGAAGAAAGGCAACAAATATATTCACAGTTATTGCGTTTGATTTATTAATTTTAATGATTGTGTTTGATTTATTTAAATTTTGTAGACTACGACTCCAAGTTATTGATTTATTTAAATATTATATGTGAACTTCTACTTCAAATTATTGAATGTGTTTTCTTTGTAGATTTCTCACAGTCGACACATATTTTAAAAGGGTTTTCCAAGTAGTTATCTTAAAAAGTAAAAAATAAATGCATTTGTCAAACCTATATAAATTTTAAAATATTAGAAGGTGTTAAAAAAGTCCTAGCAAATATTAAATATTGCTATGGACTTTTCTTGTTTATTGAAGACACCATCGCAATTATTGACAATAGATTTGAACAATAGTCAATTTCGAGTTATTCGATGAATTGCAATAACCTGCTCGCTGCACATTATTGCAACATTCAGGCAGACAGGCAGCAACTGGCGCTAAAAAAAAAAGGAAAAACTTGCCTCATGTTGCAGCTCATTGTGCGTCGCGTCAGGTGCTGCGGTTCATCTTTCACCTGGTTGGTGAACGGTTCACAGATGCATTGCATATTTTGCGGTTTTTTATTTGTTCATTTTTAGCTGTTAAACACACAATTTGCACACAACCCAGAAATGAGACGCAGTTTTATATCTCAGACAATAGCAAGGGGCGCGCCACGGGGCAGAGGGCGGGGGCAACTGTTTGAAGATCATACAAAGTGCTGATCACGGCTGAGGGTCGTCACGAACTCAACGGAACGACAAAGCCAAAGGCAGACTATTGTAATGTTTACTTTTGTTATCTTAATGGTTTCCATACGTTCGACAGTTGCGCAGTATCCCCAACGAGAGGTTCTTGCAATTGAAGATGCTGTGCTGCATATATAAAATACTACCCCTATATAAATAACTATCCCTTTATCAATCAATTTTGTAATTACGCCTCGGCTTGCTTATGACACACAATCGACGAGTTCTTCTAATTGTTCAACTCTAGCTGAGGGTATATGATTATTTGTAGGAACGTTTTTAGATTATTATTTCGTTTATTTCGAATTCTTTTGCAAAATCCAGAAAATTTTTCTGGTTTTCAGGGCGATTTTCTAAATTTTTATTCAGAGCCTAAACTGACCATCAATAATTTAGTTTATGACATATTCCGCGCTTTTACTTGAATGATGTTCCACGAACAAGTTTTTATTAAGCTGCCAAGATTTTGTTTAAAAGAGATCTTAAAAAAGTAGTATATAATCTATATTATAATCTTATCAAAGCCATATATCCATGTGTATTATATATCCGCCAGGGTATTTAGTAATCGACATTCCAAAAGATAAATATTCTATCTTGTCTTGATTTCCTTTTTCTTATTTTTTATGATCGTTGTTCTTTTCTAGCTAAATGGACAAATATAGATAAATTGCTGCTATTGTTGTAGTTAAGTCAACGTTCACAGATACATATACGTGTTTATATATTCCTCTATAAAGTTCTATAGTTGTTTCTCATTTTTTTCTTTATAATAAAGCGCAGGTGTCTGAAATTGCCATTTAGCAGCACTTACGAGTTGAGATCTATTCAATCAATTCTCACGACCCACTCAAAGCTTTTGCAAGTTGTTGTCAACCAATCTTTAGCTGGTACTCATTAGATCATTAAGAAATCAACAATGTTATTGTCTTTGCAGCTTATAATTTTTTATAGCATTAAGATTTCCTTTGTCTCTGCCCGTCTAGGAAATTATCATTATTCTAGATACATTTTTATAACATATGCAAATATTTAGCTTCATTTCACTTTCGTTTTTCTCGAGGTTGAAAGCAAATTAGCTTTCAATTTTCCAAGCAAAAGCATGGACCGGTTATAGATATATACATACATAAATGTTGTATATATATGTATATATTTGAAGTACATGTATCATGTATCTTTTGTTGTTTGCTGGCTGTCAAGCGCATCTCAATAAATTTGCGTGTTTTTCAGCTTTGAGGGTTTTTTTTTGTGTGGCCAACCATAATTATAATAGATAATGGATAATAGATGAACCAATCAAAATATATATATATATATATGTAGCTTGGGTTGTGATCGGCTTGCATATTCAACAGGCTCTAATTTGGCACACATTGCACAATGGGCGCGAACAAAACATGGAAAAAAAAACAGAAACAAAGGCCACAAATAATAAACCCAATTCAGTGAATAGACCCAAATAATTGACATTTTGATGATGTCTCAATCGTTTGGCATTTTGGCCACTTTGGCGTGCAATTTAAAATTAATTTCACTGCAATTTGGCCAAAAACAGACAATTGGAGCTGCTTATTGTGTGGCCTTTTGTGTCATGTCGTCATCTAATTGTTAGCAACAATTTCGCTTTCATTTAAACAACAACAAACCAAAAAAAAAAAACACTAACTAGAAATAAGTATAAAAAATATAATATATTTTCTTCTGCTGTATATCACTCTCTCTAAATCTCTCTCTCTCTCTTTCTCCTTTTCTCATTCATAGGTGGTGCATGGTGTACGCATTCAGCTGGCGGCCCTCGATGATTATGATGGTAACGATGACGTCGACGGCGGGGAGCCAACGAAGCAGCACAGCGTGCGCCGACGCAGCGTTGTCGCCGATCAGCCGCTTCGCATTCTCCTCGTCTACGATGAGTCCGTCTACAGGTGAGACAAGCCATGGCCAGCAAATAGCCGCAGCTGCCGCCTCAAAACTAAAACCAAATACAAATAAGAAGGCTCTTCTAGCTACAAGTGATTGTCTAGTTAATACTCTGTAAACATAACTATTTATAAATATGAAAAAAAAAAAATTATTTTTTTGCTTACAATATTCGACAAATTAGGGAAGAAATTTGCATTTCTCTATGTGTAAAAAGGATGGCAACTCTGTACAGGATTTCATAGCAGGTAGTTAGCGCTTATCGCTTATTACTGACTGGATTTCATAGCAGTCAGTTAGAGAGCGCTAGCAGTGATCGCTCAGAGCTGCCAGCATGTGCAGAAGAAGTCGTTGAAGGTTTACCAGTCTGTCAACATTTAAAATTAGAGACTCATTTTAATCCTAGAGTCTCTAGAGTCGAGGGCTCTACTTAATCACTTTCTATTTAGTCAGTGAAAATGTATATTTTAAACTCAAGCACTATTACATTGAATATTTACAGTTATCTTCTACAATTTTCAAATGTAATACCTTCTGAAATATTTATAAAACTTTCGCGATTTCAAAATCAATTGTTCGTTTTTTTCCTCATTTTATTTGTATTTGATGAGCCACAATTTCTCATACATTTTAAGTGAGTGCAGGGTATACAAAATGACCAGTGATTGCGCTTTAATGGCCATGCGCAAACTGGCTAACGTTTTACCATTCGACTTGGCCGAATGTCAAGTTAAAGCGTCGACAAACCGTTAGCTCAATTGGGTAAGACCTGAAGCCAAAATTAGCTTTACTGCACGGCGTTCAATTTGTTTGGAATTAACGCTACGGTGTCTCTCTTTAAGGTTAGCTCCGATTGCGACACACTTTGACTTGGCTATGATTCAAAATGAATAAGCTAACGAATAAATACACCGCTGTGTACCTAAATGGACAGCACTCAGACACTCAAACAATGCCATCGGCGTTCATTACCAATGGCGAGGCACAAGGTCAATTCCAGGAATTGGTAACCTTACCGACCTGGGCAAAGAAAACCAAAAAAAAAAAAATAATAATAATAATAAATATATAAAATGAAAACGGAGTATATTCGACTTGGCATTCGGTTTGCTTGCATAAGCTAAAATTCAATTAGTCACATTTAATTAGTACATTATTATTATGGAAACCAAACAATTCTTAACAAACTCGTTTAATCAATTATTCGCCAACTTCCGTACTGCATTATTGTTTTGTTTTAATTTTATATACAAAATGGCATTTTTATTATACGACATAATAAAGTACATTGACCATTGTTTTGCTTACTGTTTTAAAATGAATACAATTTGCAAAAATAGGCTTAAAACAACACTATGCAACAATAAAATTGTTTTCCAAATATTTAACTTGTTAGAAAAGCTAATAACTACCACATTTAATACAGAATTTGAGCAAACGCCTCGGAAACATAGTTAATTATGTATTTATTATCAGCTGCTCGGACAATATTTTCTTTATATATTTTTTTTTGTTTAATTAAATGAATAATACTATGGTGTAATTATTAGTGCAATAACTATAGATTTATTATTTCAATATAAGTAAATCAATTATTCTTCAAATGTAATATTCAAGTAATAAATAATTTGCTCAATGTAAACATTGCTTTGACAACTTTCATTGCTCGTTTTGTAATAGAAATGAAAATTTATTATTATTTTTTAGCTATGAAAATTAAGTTGTGTACTGTCAAGTGCATTTTAATATTTTATGTGCTGTCGTAAATATTAATTAAAAGTTTTTTCTTGCCACAATGCATAAGATATTATTAAGAAAATGCATTGCAAATTAAGATAAGTTATCTCTAATTGCTCCAACTTTGGTATTATTATTATGCACAAGCACGAAATAATGATTCTTAGTTGACAAACGATTTTGAGCAAATGCAGTATATAAATCACAGCTCGTAACGAGGATGAGTTAAATGTTTAACAAAAACTAATAGAAGAATCTCAAACATTAAAGCGAAATATTGAAACTACTTATAGACGATATATATATATATATATTGTAGCAGCGATGCAGTAAGGGGGTCCTTTAGCATGTGAGAGGTCCTTTATTCAGCCACTTAGTCGCTTAATCAAATTTTAAGGACCTTTAGCAGCTTAAATTAATATTTCGCCATTCTATCACATTTTTTGTTATTGTTCACAGATTGGAGGAAGAGAAATTCAATTTAATAAACGTAAGTAAGGCAAAAGGGGGAGTTTATAAAAACTTTATCGCATTTTACACTGGAATTTCCGTTGACAGGACACAGTGCTGCCGGAAGCGGTGCAATTCTGGGAACAGGCGCTGATGGTGCGAGAAACCAAGGGTGCCATCCGTCTCAATCGGTGAGCAATTGCCATGAGTACCTAATGTCCTCAGCTCTCTAAACAGGGATTTATTTGTGCCCGCAGGAAATGTGACAGCACCCAGGTGTATGTGAAGAATGGACACACCCACTGCATCGACCATTGCAAGGCGACGACAATGTGCGGCGAGGTCCAAGTACCCAATGCCCACTTAGATGTAAGTACATATGAAATACACGCATACAGCATACATATATATATATATATATATATATATATACATATATAAATACACACGTTTTTGGATTCCAAATAAATTTGAGGGCTTATTGACAGCAGCTTATCGCTCAGTGTCAACAGCAGCAATTTGATTTACCAACATTTATTTCGAGTATTTCCTCGGTTGCTTTATGGCCTAAATACCTTAATATATGCGGCCATATCCTTGATTATTTAAACACAAAATTAAAATCCAACAAATTATAAATAGTCATCGATTAACAGTCAACTTCCGTGATTACTGCTTGCTTCGCTTTGAAGCAAATAAGAAAATTATTATATAGAAAGGTAAAATAAAGGAAAACATTTTTTTTTATATTTTCATTTACTTCATTTAAAAGTCAAATTAATAATATTCGTACGATTGATATCTATTTTTCATAGACTCCTTTCAAATCCCCTTTCAATTAGAATATTTTTTTTTTGTTATTATTTTTATTTTGTTATAAATAGTAATGATATCCAGGGAAAGCTAAGAAAGCTGAACTATTATTCCACGTTTATTATTTTGTGATCAGTTTAAAGAATTTAATTTGTTTAATCATAATTTTATAGATCTGCCATGTTTCAATGAGCATTTAACGTTATAATTGGTGTGATGTATTTGAGCCAAAAAAATAAATAATAGAAGTGAATTCTAATTCTCTTGCACTTGCTATCATTAATAACAAATAACTCTCAACTCTTCTTTGGTTGCCAGGTGTGTCGGGTGTGCAACAGCACTGGACAGAATTGCCGGATTGACAACACGACAAAGCCCGGCGATGGCATTGAGAATGCGGACTTCATCTTCTATGTGTCGGCGCGGCAGACGCCACGCTGTTACAAGGGTCTGACCGTCGCGTATGCGGCCCACTGTCAGCAGGAGGCGCTGCTCGATCGTCCAATTGCCGGGCATGCCAATCTCTGTCCTGATAGCATAAGCACCAAGCCGCAAGAGTTGCAAACACTGATATCCACCGTCAAGCATGAGATTCTGCACGCTCTCGGATTCTCAGTCAGTTTGTATGCCTTCTTCCGGGACGATGATGGACGACCACGCACGCCACGCAAATCCGACACGGGCAAGCCCTATTTAAATGAAAAGTAAGCGATGCAAATCATTCTTCATTTTGCAAGGTTAACTTTCTTGCTTGCAGATTGCAGATACATCAGTGGAGCAATGAGACCATACGCAAAGTGGAGCGCTCCAATTGGGCTGTGCGCGGTGGTCATGTGAAGAAGATGGTCGACATGCTGGTCACGCCCCGTGTGGTGGCCGAGGTGCGCGCCCATTTTGACTGCGATAAGTTGGAGGGCGCCGAACTGGAGGATCAGGGTGGTGAGGGCACGGCCCTGACGCACTGGGAGAAACGTATACTCGAGAATGAGGCGATGACGGGCACGCACACACAATCGCCCGTCTTTTCGCGCATAACACTCGCCCTTATGGAGGATTCGGGTTGGTATCGTGCCAACTATTCGATGGCAACGCCACTCACCTGGGGCAAGGGCCTGGGCTGCATGTTTGCCATGCGCAGCTGCAAGGATTGGATACAAATGAATCATGACAGGTGCGCTTCGCTTCGATTCGATTTAACTTTGCTTAATCCTAATCTAATCCCAAATCTCTTAACACACACACACACAGAGGTCGCTCCATACATCCGTTCTGCTCGAAGGTGAAACAGGATCCTCTGCAAACGGAATGCACGGACGATCGCAATTCGGTTGCGCTCTGTAATCTGATTAAGCATGAATACGAATTGCCCAATTCATATCAGAATTTTGATGCGCTCAAGAACATCAAGTCCGGCGAGGAGGGCTATTATGGTGGCTCCGTTTCGTTAGCAGATCATTGTCCCTATATCCAGGAGTTCACGTGGCGCAGCAAGAACATCATTGTGCGCGGCTCCCATTGTCGTTTCGTTGAGAATAATCCAAGTATGTGGGAAGATCTATAATTAATATGTATTACTGCTGATGTGTTCAAATATTTTTTACATTGATTTGCAGAGCCCGAAAAGAATTTTGCACTGGAGAGCTATGGGCATGGCTCGAAGTGTTTCGATCACAGTGAATCGATGTGGGAGGAGCGCTCCTGTCACCAGACACGCGAATGGCAGCATTGGGGCAGTGGCTGTTACAAATACAGCTGCTTCGATGGTCGCCTGCACATCCTTGTGGGCAACTATAGCTACAAATGCTCATTTCCTGGCCAGAAGCTGTCCATACGCATCGTATCGAATGATTGGCTGCACAAGGGCGCCATTATGTGTCCGCCGTGCCATGAAGTGTGCGGTTCCCATTTTGCCGCACAGGGCAAACAATGCCGGCCGGGCGAGGAGCCCGATCCACTCAATAAATATCCACGCGATGATCTCGCGTGCGGCGCTGGCTTACCACAGCGTCTCTCGTTGGCCATATTCAGTGCTGTTGTGCTTTTAACCATATACCGGGGGGGCGTATATGCTGCTCCAGATAGCTAAGCTAATCTCAAACTAGGCACATGTTTTAATATTTAATGTTTAATGTTTCTCTTTATATATATATATATTTTGTAGTGAAATTTGTAAATTGCAATTGTACAATACGCTCAATTTGCCTAGATTTAAGAATCAGTGGTAAGTGTAATGTTCCCCCAATTTTAATTTTTACATTTTAGCAATATGTGTATTTCTAATTGTATTTGTATTTGTCGTATTGTATCCCGATATGTGATCTTTACTAAGGATATGCTGAAAGCGTCATATTTCAATCTGATGAATATGACGTCGAAGCAGAGCTCTTAAGCTATCTATATACATTCCAAAGTTTTGCCACTTTTATTTACTCAAAGGCTAGTCACAATCTTTGAACTATTATCAGATTATTTTTATTATTGATAGTTCTGATTGTGACACTTGCCAATTTTTTTGTAATTTTACTTTTGTTATTTGTCGACCACAAAATCTTTGTTATTTATTGTTGCGAAATTCGTTATCTTATCTTGTGATTTATATTATTCGATGTCGGCTTTTTTTTGCCCAGCTTTGTTTCTCATGTGTGTTCTGTGTGTGCGAGTTTGCTCCAACGCCAATTGCTATTTGGGCAGCCTACTAAGCATTTAGAATCAGTACAACCACCCAAGAAAATGTTCTAAAATTTTCATATTCTAGTAATTAAGCTACATTTGTGAATAAACTCTATTGTATATATGGAAACGTGAAAATGCTTGCTAAATTTAATGCAGCACCTATTTTATTTTATGGGCACTCGTCTACGATCTCGAACATCACCGCATTATCCGGTTCTTCCTCTTCCTCCTCCTCTTCGTCCAGCTCATCTTCGGACATCTTAGCATCTGTTGAGTTGTGATCTGTGATCTCCTCAGTTACCCTAATATGCATCAGCGATGTACCTGGTTTAGCCGGTTTTTTTACACGTTTTGATCTGATTAAAAGAAAAGCGTTAATTGGTTTTTTTTGTTGATTTTTGGATATTTGAAAAATCGTACGCTTCGGTCAGTTCTGTGATCATGGGCAGCAGTGTGGAACGCATAACGCCACGTGCCTCCTCCTCAGCCAGCTCCTTGGGATGTGTCTTGCGCTTGTGCATGCGACAATTGGAGCCATTCGAAAAGTCGCGTCCACAAAAATTGCACTTATATGGGCGTATGCCCGTATGCAGGATCAGGTGTGCCTTCAACGTTTTGCCACGCTTAAAGGCGGCGCCGCACACATCACACTTGTACTGCTTGGCGTCCGTGTGAACCAGTTGGTGCATGTTGAGAGTGCGACGCGTATTCAGCTTCAAGCCACATATGTTACACTCGTAGCTGTCATTTGTGTGCGTGTCCGAGTGTATCTGCAAAGAATTCAATTAGTAGCAGATACAAATGGGGAACGAAAACGAGTCAGTGGCTAACTCACCTTTAGTCTCGCCTTGTTCTTAAAGCGACGATGGCAGACGGTGCACTCGAAGGGACACTCATCCGTGTGCACCAGCTTGTGCTCGTTGAGGGCCGTAATGGTCTTCATTCCTTTGCCACAGCAGTCGCATATGTACGGCTTGACATTCTCATGGATGCACATTATGTGCCGTTTCAGTGCTCCAGCGGTGGTAAACTGTTTCGGGCAGTAGCTGCAAGCATTCTTTGTTTTGTCCTTGGACGGCAAGTGGCTGCGAAAATGGGCAGTCAACTGAATTTCGGTTGCAAACAACATGTGGCAACGTTTGCATTCTAATTTATCTTTATCTGCGGCAGCCAGGCCATGGACGACGGCCATATGCCGTTTGTAAGCCATGGGCAACTTGTAGCTTCGATTGCACGATGTGCACTTGTATGGGCCATCCATTATATCCTCATTTTCTGCTAGGTTAGTCTTTGTGACCCTGTCAACATCTTCCTCCGTTGCCGATGTCGTCGTTGACTTTAATTTGGGTATTTGCTCCTCTTCCTGCTCACCGTATGCCTCCTGGTTAGTGTATTCTTCTTGCTCAACGTATGCTGCTGCTACTGCCTCTTGGGTCGCCTGGTCTTCTTGGTCCACATATGACTCGTAGGTGTTCTCCTCATTATCCATCGACGGGTTCTCTTCGATTTCAGTCATTATTTCAGTTTCAGCATCTTCATCGATCGACTCCACCATGTAATCGACTGTGTCTGCATCTGCTTTGTCCCCATGTGATGCATCCTTCGAGACAAAGTGCTTCCACTCATCCGCTTGCAGTCCACAATCCTTTCTCAATTCATTATAGTCTAAGGTGGCCTGTTTACCAGCCTGTTGTAGTCGGCTGAAAAGCGTTTGAACTCGATTGACTCGTTCCGAAAATTCGATGAGATCCTCAACCAGAGTATAGCACTCCTTGCACAGCACATTGCTCAGCTCATCCTCCATTTTTATCTGTAAGCGTTAACGACTGAATGAATGAGTTTTTGGTGTTGCACAATAGTGCTGGAATTGTTCGACTGTTTGCTTACATTAACCCAGAAGTATTTACCAATCGCCACGGCCAGTACGCTTGTCCACGTCTGATTGCCGTCTCGGAAATACACATTTAAGTTATCCGGATGTTCTTTGGCGCACAGGCGGCACCATTGGTGCCAAACGGATGCTTCTCTGTTCTGCGTTGAGCCTGCCCCTGTCCCTGAACTTGCAACTGCCTCGCTGCCCGTCATTATTATTATGTGCGATATGTGTAAGCAAAACAATACAATAACAATTCAGTTTGTTATTTTTGCTATCGATAGTCTGCCCTCCTCCTATCGATAGTTTTTGCGTGCAAGCGAAAGTTGTTATCGATGGCCGTTTTTTATCTTTTGGCTTATCGAAATACAAAAGTGGTGTTTTATGCTGGGATTCTTATTTTAATTTTAATTAAATAAATTTACTTTATACTTCTAGAATAGGCGCCGGGCGGACAACATTGACAGGCAGTTTATCTTATTGCTAAATCTTAGATTCTTAAAACGAGTATTATTAGTTATTAGATTCCTCTTTCACCTTGGGTATTTTTTGTGACCTACAAAAGCAAAATGTTTTATTGATTGATGTTTCTATATTTGAATGTATTCACTCACATTACACGCAGCTCATCTAGAGTGGGTACACTTAACCGGGAGGATAAGCCCGCTCCCTCCTCCTTTTTCAGTTCCTGCGAATGCTTTTTCAGCTTGTGCGCCCGACAATTCGCATTGCAGGCGAACGTTTGTCCGCAATAATTGCAGATGTACGGACGCAAACCCGTGTGGCTGAGCAGGTGGGTCTTTAGGGTTTTGGAGCGCTTGAAGAGGGCACCGCAGACGTCACACTTGAATTTGCGCTCTTCACTGTGCACCAGTTTGTGCATGTTCCACGTGCGCTGTGTCTGCAGTTTCTTGCCACAAATGTTGCACACATAGCTGGGCTCCTCGTGGATCTGATAATGCACCTTGAGGCGAGCACGATTCTTGAAGCCCGCCTTGCATATCGTACAGCTAAACGGACGATCCTCCGTATGCACCAACTTGTGCTCGTTGAGGGCGGTTTTGGTCTTTAGCTGCTTGCCACAATGATCACACACAAAGGGCTTGGCATTCTCGTGCATGCCTTCCCTGTGCAACTTCAGTGCCGCGGCGGATGACAGCGTCTTGTTGCACAGCTCACAAAATGTATTCTTATCCAGTTTGGGTCGTTGTTCCGTCTTGCGACACACAAGTCTTAAGTGCTTCAGATACGAGGCACGATTGTGATACAATTTACCGCACCAGCTGCATTCCATCGTGCTGCGTTTAGTTCTCGGCAGTACGCCGGGAGTATTGTGCTCGGATTCCGTATCCTCGTTGCGGGATGAACAATCAAGTGAATCTTCGAATGGTACACTTAGTGTAGCTGCTTCTGGCAGGAATTCCTGGTCCGCATCGGCACTTAATTTATTAATCTCAATATCCGGCTCGTCCTCTTCCTGCTCCTCCTCCTCCTCTTTGCATTGTAGATTTCTAGGCCTGTCATCTGTTGACAATCTTTTAGGATTTCTCCTCTCCTGTGCATCCTCGTTGGCATCCCAGCCAGCAACTAGTATCTCTTCAATTGGCAAGCGATTGACAGTTTCTTCCTGTTTGGGCACCTCCTCCTCCTCTTCCTTGTCGATTGGGGGTGACATGTCTCTTTCCAGTTTGCCGGCATTATTATTCTCGATTTCTGGCACCGGCTTGATGATGTGCGTCCAGTTGCCCTCACGCAGTCCATACTGCAGTCGTAGTGCCTCCATGTCCAGTTGATTATTTGGCTCCGAACGGCGCAATACCTCAAAGATTGCCTGGACTTTTGTGACGTGCTCGGCAAAGTCGATTAGCTCGCTGATTAGCGTATAGCACTCCTTGCACAGCACTGCGCCCAGCTCGTCCTCCACTTGCATCTGATTGGATGCGAGATGTGTGTTAGAACTATTTGATACAATAGCCAATTACAACTTACATGCACATCGAAATATTTGCGAATGGCCAGCACCAGAACACTATTCCACGTCGTTTCCTTCTCATTGGTGTAGATCTTAACGTTGCCACTGATATCGTCCTTGCTGCCGCACAGACGACACCAATTGAGCCAGTGGCTATCGCCAATTGCTTCCTCTTCGCGTTCCTCCATCTTCTCGATGGCAGTTCAAATTTTACCCAAAATGCTTCCAAACAATTTGTTTTCGTTGCGAGCAAAAAGGTAAACACAACAAATTAGAGTGACCACATTTTGAAAATACCAAATTGTACTATTTTGGTATTATTTTTTGTGCATGACGATTTTGAATTGAAAATACAAAGTATTTAATTGATTGATACTGCACGGATGCGTTTTATTTATTCAACTTCATAGCTCGGGGCTTCCGCAGTCGCTCACCCTTCTCCATGCCAGCAGCTCTGCAATGAAAGACATTTTTGATTACACTCACAAATATGAACAGGAACACTTACAAGGCACGCAACTCATCCAAAGTAGGAACATTTGATTTGCGCGACGATTTGTCATCATCTTTTGCATATTCCACGGGATGCTTTCGTTTCTTGTGCTCCCTGCAATTGGCGCCGCATGCAAAATCCTTGTCGCAGTACTTGCAGGTGTACGGCCGTAATCCCGTGTGACTGAGCAGATGAATCTTCAACGCTGTCGAATTTTTAATTGCCGTACCACAAATTGTACACTCAAATCTCCGCTCATTTGTATGGACAACTTTGTGCTTATTCCAAATTGCTCGTGTCTGCAGCTTCTTGCCACAAATTTCACACTCATAGCTGGGCTCGCCATGGGTCTGACTATGGATCTGCATATAGGAAAAAAAAATAGAAGTTTTGATATATCATCTAAGTAATCCAGTAAAACTCACGTTGAGCCGCTTTTTGTTTTTGAAGGCCGCATTGCACAGGGCACAGACAAAGGGTCGATCGTCGGTGTGGACCAGCTTGTGCTCCTTGAGCTCGGAGGCGGTTTTCACACACTTGCCACAGCAGTCGCAGATGAAGGGCTTCTTGTTCATATGGACGCGATCTATGTGATATTTCAGGCCAATCGGCGACATTAGCTGCTTGTAGCAAATGCCACAAGTAACGCTGTGTCTCCTATTACCACTGTCATTGTTCCTCTTTATTGTGCCTAGCTCTGGTTCGGGGGATGCGAGCAGCAGTCTTGATAGTGCCACATTTTTGCAATACAATCGATCCTTTCGCGGACGACCACGTTTTCTTTTTATGGGATCGGGAAGGATTTCATCCAAGTACTCTGCCGGTTCCACTGTTGATCTCATAGATATTTCCATCTCGTCCTGGGATTCTTCACTTTCTGTTTTAACAGGCAACTTGGGATGACCACGTTTTCTATGCTGACTGCTCTCGTCATCCTCCCAAAGTGTCTCCTTAAGCCAAACGCTCTCCTCCTTGACGGAATGGCAGGAATCGGCTTGAAATGCAAACGACGATTCGTTGGATTCGACGCTCTCTTTGAGTAGTCTATTCTTGGTGCCCTTGGGTCGTCCACGTCTTATTTTAGCTGGCATTGAAATTGCTGATAATGCTGCCTCATCTGGATTATCGCTATCGGAGCTATCATCTTGGAGAAAGATTTGATTCTCAAGATCTTCGCTCTGCTCGCGAAATCCGAGTGCTTCTATTTTATAACTGTCCTTTGAGCTGAAATTCTGTAGTCCATATTCATGGCGCAGGGCAGGTACATCCACCTGCTCGTTGGACTCTGTGTGACGCAGCAGCTCGAAGATTGGCTGAACCTTGTTCACATTCTCAACAAAATTGAGCAATACGCCTACAAAGCAATAACAATCCTTGCACAGCATCGCACCCAATTCGGGCTCTTCGAGTCCAATCTAAAGTTGTAAACGGTAATAATTTAACATAATTTATATTTATTAGTTGCCTTCGACTTACTTCAATATCAAAACACTTGCTTATGATACGCATATAAGCATCTTTGTGGCGCACATCGATTGTGGCATCATCGTTGGCGCATAGACGGCACCAATCCAACCAATTTTGTTCAATATATTCCACATCATTTAACTTGGACATGACATCTGTAAAATAATTGACGCGCGCTAAATACAATTTTAATAAATAAGTTTAGCATATGTTTTGTGACTAGGGTGACCAGCCACTGCTATCTAGTTAACAGTGTTGCTAAGTTGGCTTTTGTATAGCTAGCTTGTTTTGTATATAAGTGTCAATATTGTTTTTATTTTTTAAAGGTTTAACGATACTCGCTAATGCAAATGAAAACATTCTTGGCATTGTTTCATTAAATAATTTCACTTAATTAAAAGCTAATGGGTTGATTTTGTATGTTTTTGTACCTACGAATCAGGCAACACTGACACAACAGCAGCTGTTAGTGTGACCATATCAACAAACTTGGGGCTGCCGTCTTGCATTCGCCTGACTACCGATAGTTTTTTCTTTCGATAAGACAGTGTATTTAACTGGCTACGCTTGCGCAGCCCAAACGACATTTTTTACCTAAAATGTAATTTGTTTTTATATTCAAAACTAGAGCGTGTAAATGTTGCAACTTCAAGAATTAAATATGCATAAGTTAAGGCAACTATTTTGGGTGTTGCGCCAAAGTGTAAATTGAAAAAGCAGATTGCTATTGAAGCGTGTAACAAGATACATTTGATTGCTGCTGCTGCCGTTTTGTGTTGGTGTCGGATGCCGTTGTTGTTGTATTGGTGTTGTTTGTGGCGTTTGTTGGTCTGCTGTTACATTGTGCTACACACACACACATACACACACAGACACATACGTACATTGAAACAAACTTAGAGCTGCTGCTGGCCATTGAGCACAAACCGCATTCCACACAGCCAACAACAACAACAACATCGACAACAACAACGACAACAACTCGAAAATCATCAATGAAAAAGGTGCGTTTCGCATTTAAACAGCCGTTTTAAGTTTTAACCATAATTAATTGTTGCTGTTGTTGCTTGCAGTAAAGCGCCATGCATCATCATCATCCGCCATTGCCCATAATGAGCACGGCAAACGGAGCCTCAGCACCAACAACAACAACCACAACAGCGACTGCTGCTGCCGCCCAACAACAACAGCAACAGCGTCGTCGGAAAAAGCGTCCCAATTATGGCACACGAACTGTGGAGGTGCGTCGTGGCTATAATGGTTTCGGATTTACCATATCGGGTCAGCAGCCATGTCGCCTTTCCTGTATCATTAGCAATTCACCAGCGGAGCAGGCGGGCTTGCGTGCCGGCGATTTTCTCATCTCGGTGAATGGTTTAAATGTGTCCAAGCTGCCACACGAGACGGTCGTGCAGTTGATCGGGAATTCCTTTGGCAGCATTCGTATGCAGATTGCCGAGAATTATTATTCGGATAGTTCGGATGAGGAGAACGCGAATGCAACGCTTCACATACAGCGCAGTGCTCGTGGCCAGCTGCTGGCCGCCAGTCTGGGCAGTGGTGTGCGCAATAAGCCGCGTTTTCTTCACCACAAATCAAAGATTCACAGGCTGCGCAACTCGCCCCAAAAGAAGGCCATCGAACAACAAGTGGAAGTAGCTGGTGCTGCTGCTTCTGCTGCTCTGCCAGATCATGCCACATTGCGTCCAGTGCTGGAGGATGCACCTTTACCATTACCATCATCATCTGGATTGGCCAAATGTGCGGATGTGGCCAATGTTAGCGCCATGGTGCGTGCCGTGGGCAGCGCTGCTTTGGAATATCGGGTAATTGTTGGCTATTTGGGCACCATTGAGATGCCAAAGCAGATATCGCACAGCTCCAAGCTGCAGACGGTGCGCTCCTGCATACGCAAACTGCGCCAGGAGAAACGCCAACCGACCATTGTCCTCATGTGCATTACACCGGACATGCTCCGGCTGCAGAGCGCCAGTGGCGCCACCTTGGCCACATATGCCTCGGCGCGTCTCAACTATGTGAGCTCCTCGTCGGAGAGCGAGAATCGCTTCTTTGGCCTGGTCACCAGCGCTGTGCACAACACTCAAATCGATGAGGAATACGAGGTGGAGGATAATAAATCGAATGCTAATCACATCAGCATCTCGCATAGCTGTCATGTCTTTGTCATTGATACGAAGTTGATTGATCATGTCCAGCATTTGGGGCGTGCCCATGAGTATCGTTTGCAGTGCACCCGTGATCCTATTTCTAATTTATGCCTGGAGTTTCCCAACAACTCGGAGTATGTCGTCAATCTCATACGGAGCATGTACACCATGCGCATCCTGCCGCCAGCCAGTCGTAGTCAGCAGGCACAGCAGGATTATGAGGCAGGCGCTGCAGTTGGAGCGGGTGCAGGAGCTGGAGCTGCCGCTCATTCTCCGCAGCCATCGAATCACAGCGAGATTTCGACAACCACCTCGAATTCGGATTCGGGCATTGGCTTCAACAATGATTGCACTAACATTTCGGATCGCATTCTTGTCGTGGATTTCGCTGCCGTTGCCGCCGCAGCAGGAGCAGGTGGCGCTCTTGGTCATGCCCCATTGCCGCCACCGCCGGCTGCAGCGCGTCCGCTGGGCATTGTGGGTGTGCCCGATAATCGGTTGACTGTGCGCGCCATGCCCGATCCTGATCCAAAGTCACCGTCCGCCTCCTGCTCGCTGCGTCGCCCCAATTTGCTGGCCAGCTTCAATTTGATTAAGAGTCCGGCCACGAATCTCATCGGCACGCGCTCCTGCGATGATGTTCTGAATCTTCTTGTGGATGTTGATGATGATGAGCCACCTGTCTTGGCTGCTGTCGCCTCCATGGATGACATCTCATTGCACTCGACGGCCCCCTCGCTGGATGAGCCACACATGTTCATTCATCCGGCTTGCGTGCCCCGCAAGACACGACGATCCCTGCAGCCGGGCACAGGAGTAATGGGAGCAGCCGGAACAGCAGCGACTCCATCCAAACTGAGCGCTCAAGTCTTTGGCAAGCCGCGCTCACGTCAATCCTTCGGATTTGAGGCCATCGACAGCATCCAGTCAACAGTACTGGCTGGCTGCACGGATCAACCCATGGACACCTGGACCAGTCTCCAAAACATTCACAAGGCCATAAATCCAACGCCGAATCTCTCGTCAGCATCCACATCATCCACACATTGCCTACTAGAAGCTACCAACAGTGAACCCGATCTGGGGGTGAGTTATATTTTATATATATACCTGTACTCAATATGCTAACTAATCTAATCTAAAATTACTTTATATATATAAATTTATTAATGATATGAAATTGAGAACACGTTGAATTTATTAAGGAATTTGAGTTAGTTCTTATATATACCTAAACTCAACATAGTTTTTTGAGTTCTATGATTAGCCTATGTAAGATATTAGATTCTGGCTGTAGGAGGCAAATTCAAGTTAATTTTAAGAATGGTTTTCGTTTTTCGAGAATATCTTCAATGGTATTTGTATGTAGAAGAGAGTCTATTTTTCTTAACTTCAATCCTGTTTTTATACTCAAAAGGAGGATGAAATGAAAAATTAAAAGTGTTGAATATTTCTGATTTTTGTACAAATTTGAATAACATAATAAAGCTGTTTATTTTATCTAGTCCGGATATATATATATATATAAATATACTCGGCTACTGCTGCTGACCGAATTTAAATTAACTTTGTCGGCTAAGAGACGTCTTCTTCATTGCATTACAGTCCGCACTCCAAAATAATTATAATCTCTGTCAGTGTATAAAAAGGTATTACTACCTTATATTCTCGGCACTTACTCCACTGGGAATAAAGCATTGCGCAATTGGTTACGTCAAACCATCATTTTCATAATTCTTTTAATTAGAATTTTTATACATTTTTGAACACTTTGATAATTGTTAAAGGGGTATATTGGTTATGTGCAAATGTATGTAACAGGCAGAAGGAGGCACCTCCAACCCCATTATGTATATATACTATTCCTGATCAGGATCAAATTATGATGTAGCCATTTCCATCTGTCATCATCAGACTGTAAGAGCTGGAGACTTCAAATTTTAATACAAGTTTTCGTATAGCCCAAGCTAATCAAGTTTATTTTATTTGATCGATAACTGTTTCCATTTCCGATAACAATAAATGCTACATTTTTGAGGGCAAAGGCATCTTATTGATATATAATATAAATTAATATATTATTGAAAAACTGAACAAATTTCACAAGATCGAATAAGAAATATCCAAGTTGTATTCTCATATTGATCTCATTACTCTCCTCTGCCTCTCAGGAGGCAATAAGAAATGTGAAGTGCTCTACTTCCACGCATGCTTACATTTGAGAGTGTATAATATAAAACTAGAATATATTTAAAAGGGTATATCGTAGTCGAGTCCAGTCGTTTACAGCATTCTTACTTGTTACGATGGCTTATGTTGGCTGAAAATTTCAAAATTTCATAAATATTGTAAGCATTTTTGTCGAAAAATGTTACTTAAAAATTATTTGTATTTCTTTTTTTAATGCATATTTTTGGTGATTAAATAAAGCTTTTGCTTTGCGTTGTTTGTGTTCTGTTTACCTGCGAACATTGCTGGGCTGTTAGCTGGCTGTTACCTGAGAGCTTGCTTGCTAAGCTTATCGCGCCGTTTACTTCTACCCTCCGCCTCCGGCCCGCCCACACCCTCTCGCAGTGTGCCCCTCGATAAGCGACCCCAAAATGCTTCACATACACGGAGACACACACATGTGGAATTTGTGTGGTTTGGTATTGGTGCATGTGATTTTCTTTGGCTTTGTTGCTGCTGCTGCTGTCTGCTGTGGCTCAGTAGTCGGCGCGACGCTTCTGCAATAGGTGTTTCTTACATTTTAGTAGTACTTGTTGCACTGCTTGTGTCGTCCCTTGCCCCTATCTATCCTTGCCCTGCTCGTGTGTGCATCCTCCGCCCACCGTTGCTTTGGCGTTGAGTAGTCAAGCATTCGCATCACGTACTGTGTGATAAGGAAATCGTAAATCGGTCGCTAAAAATAAATCGCTCAGTGACGTCATGCGGCAGCTCACAACAAGAAGCCAACTGTGACGCCGACTGCGACGCCGACAGCAGCGCTGCTGTCGATGTCAATGGCGAACGCGCTTAATTCAATCTACAGTAACTAATGGGGGAACAAAACATATTTACACAATTCGCAGCCGCCATTTGACTTCATCGTCTGCTGACCTTTGCGTTGGCGCTCCGTGTTCTCGGTTCGATTCCGCAAAACCCCCTCCCTCCCCGCCCCCCGTGTGCGGTTTTTTATTAGACGCGATTTGTAGTTTATAGCTCGCTGCGTTTTCACTTTCGCTGTGCTGTTGATTTTTGCTCAATATGTTTGTTTTTTAAATATTTTATATATAATAAAAAAATAAAATAAATATAAATATAAACATATATAAATATATATATATAGTGCACGTAATCGTCGGGTTTGTAATACGCGATAAAAAAAGCAAGCAACAAATAAAATACAATATTAAAAGTTCAGCCGAAGTTCAAAAGCCCAGCGCATTTCATATTGGCTGCATTTTGTCACAATAAATTGTCATTAAGTGTCGGCATGTTTGGAATACTTTAAGAACGGAGCGTTACACTGCACATTCTGTAAACAAGTCAAAACTTCATGAAAATAATGTCGTTTCGAGGACTCGCTTGTGGCCTATACGCCGATAAGAATCCGGTAAGCATATCTATATATTAATCATACGATTTTCTATAGTAATTACCTGCTAAGCAGAGTATCTTAAATGCTTATTTTTGTGCTCCGTTGACCTTTGTAAAAGGTTATGACCGCTTTGTCAAGCTGACTGACCGGTTATATTTGTAATTAAAAAAACAATTCGTTTACATACATGTGAATAATACATTCTCTTACAAAGTCAACTTTAAATTGGAACATTTCCATTTGCTCATGCGAGCATTTCATGAGCTCGTCGACACACTTTGTTACCTTCTTTATGGTTGCCTGAGTTTTTATTTTAACCACCCCTTTCAGCCCTTGCAGTCGATTCGTAACAATCCCGATATCAATTTGTGATTACTCACTTGTTTGCATTAGTCTTAGACGCCTGCCCTATACTATCGAGTCTATAGAAACTGTGTTATTCATTCTAAATAGCTGTACACATACATAATGCTCGATTCTACTTAGTCTGATAACTAATGAGTTGCGTTTGAAAGAGATATATAAACTTACTTGGAATTTACTACACTCGGAAAACAAATCTCGCTCAATTTTAGGAATTCGCCATACTTTTGGCGCCAAGCATAAATCATCTTATTAATCAGAAAGTATATTTCTTTTTTATAATAATGTATAATTTGAACTATTTTCTGAACTGAATTTTCTGAAGAGAATTTTCCTTTATAAAAATAGTTGTTTGAATTTCAACTTTTTAGAAATATTTTCTATTTAGAAATATATTTCTGCAAAAGACTGTGCTTTTTATAATTTTGTTTTCCTATTGTTTTCAGCGTGGTATTCTAAAATTCAGGTTGATTATTTCTGAGTGTACATTTATTAAGTACGAAGTATAAACAAATAAAATGAACTGTACATAAGTTTCTTCATATTTGGAGAGGGTTGCTTATTGTTATAAATGTTAGGGATTTTATGTTTTTTTTTTAGAATAACACGCCTAAGTTATTTTGATCAATATGCGAAGAGTCTTGTGGGTTAATTATAGATTTTCTATAAAGCACATTTTGCGGGTAACTTTTTAAATAATAATCTTTACCCAAGAAGCTTGTCGTTTTATTGCTATTTGCTATTTTAATTACATTTATTAATCGTTCATTATTTGAAGTACATATGTATTTTGCCTGTGGTATGTTTGTGTGAAGGCCCTATTATAAACACTCGATATCCGATTATGGACTACTTCATCGTTATTGGAAGTGCGTCATTTTGGAAACTACTAAAAATAACATGTGAAATCTACAGAAAGATAAAAGAGAGTACACAGTGAGAATATGTCGTAGTATTTCTTACACAAAATGCGCAATAAAATCTTGATTGAGTAATACAATTTTAATTATTAAATATCGAGTATTTTGATCTTCATTTAAGCCGTTATTTAAGTTACTAAATGTTAGTAATCAGCAGAAAAGTTTTTATATACAAAAATGAGTTTTCTGCATAGTGGAAACCTATATTTATATGTATTTAAGATTATAGATGCACAATACTTTAAACTCAAAACAAGAAAGTTTTGCAAAATAATTGTCGACTTTAAGTTTAGTACGACTCTTTTTTGCTCAGTGTACTTTTCTTTTATCGTTCGAAGACCTTGGACAATGCATAGTGATTAAAGCGGCATGCAATCCTCTCCAAATTCTGCTCTAACAGGTTGCCACAGACACAGAGCAGTTGCTTTTTGGCGGGCAACCTGCAACAGGGGCACATGCTACATTATATTACTGTTGCAGGTGTGCAGCATTAGGGGAAAACAACCCTCGTGCCACACAAGTTAGCAGCGTCGTCAGCTGGAAAATACCTTTTTGTGGCAGCAGTTTCTTTTTTTTCTGCAGGTTGTTTGTTGTTTTAGCTTCCTTCCTTCCTCCCTTCCCGTTCCCTTGCCTGCTACTTTCCCCTCGACATGCCAGTGTCATGGGAATTGAGCAGGTTACTTAAAATCATTTGACTTGTGGTTAATTATTCATGCATTGACTTAACTTGACTTCAGTTTGTAGAACGGTAAGCCACCGACTGGCCTTATCACCGATATTACAATAATGTATTATTTTTTTGTAACGTATTTGCCAGCTGACGCTGTGTGGGAATTCCGAAAAGAAGCCATTTCAATGTGCATGTGGAAACGTGCATCATTTCAGACATGCATCTGCAGCACTTATCTAAGCGATACCAAAAAGATAATATTGAATATTGTATTCTTTATTAAGCAGCCTATCAGGGAAGAGTATTCAGTACTCAGAAAAGAAAAGAAGAAAAAATCGAAAGCTTCTGATTAAACGCTTATCAGCTAAAGCCCAAGCACGTATTTATAAAAATTTATTAATAAATTTGTTAAATGTAGGCGATCAAATAACAACAGCTACGTATGTCTCTTTTATAGCCACAGCAATACAAAAATAAAAATAAATTAATTAATAAAAACAAAAAAAACTGTTTCAAGTGCGTCAGCATTTGTTTTGCTAAAATTCTTTGTAGC